TATTTTAACATTATTATGAAATATTAATATTAAATGAATATTATTTTATTTATTATATATAATATTATATTATTTATTATTTTATATATTGAAAAATAATCAATGAAAAATTTTACATAATCTTCATATTTTAAAATATGTATATTCGCCTGATTTGAAGAATAAGTCAATAAAAAAAGGATTTCTTAGTGATTCTTATCAATTAGTTGAAAAACTCATTGATTTAATCAGAAATTAAAGCAGAATATAAACAATATGATTTATTACCTCATATATATATATATACACATATATATTAGTTTTGAATGAACATAGTTTTATATCGATAATATTCAACGCATCGATTAATCTATGATAATCGTTTTAAAAAGAATGAATAGTTTCAATAGAAAGAAAGGCGCCAAATATCGCACTCACCGGAATGAATAGTCGACAGCAGTACCACGAAGACGAGGGTGACGATCAGCGAAAGACGATTTGCAATCATGATCACGATCACCGGACCATGTGTTTCAACTAATCACGTTGCAGTCAGTCACTTCGGACGTGTTGTCTCCACTCTCGCTGCATGGAAAATTTGCACGCGGCAGATTCGATTATATAATATTTTCAATTTTTATAAAATAGATTCACCTTGAGAATCAAACAATGATAAAAAAATTGAACTTGAGAACAAATGAAGAGAATTTATTTGATGTGGCAGTGTTTAATCGACAGATCTTGTCTCTTCTCCTTTCTCACGTCCGAAATGACTGAACGAACGTGTACGAACCTTCTGGTTTCTTGTGCACCTTACGTGATCGCGGACGCGTCGCGTCTGATGAGAATCAGTTTCCGTCGGCTATGCGGCAGATCTGCCCCCTCTGGTTTTTCCATGCGCTTTGCGTCCATCCCTTGTTCACCACCGTACCCTATTAATTCGGAACCAATTTTTATCATTAAGATAATTTTTTGATTATTATTTTTCTTAAGTTATAATTATTAACAGAATAATTAATTAATTAATGGAAAATATTTGAAGATTTAAAATTGCAATTTATTTTTTGTTCATATTATATAAGAATTTTAGGTTGTTTTTTTCTTTGATTTTTTTAATAAAAAAATTATTTCAAATTTTATATTTGTATAATTTTTATTATTTTTTTACAATAATGAATAAATAATATATATTCTAAAATAAATAAATTATTTTATAATATTTTCTAGTTATATTTATTAAACAAACATTTTTAAATTATATAACAACAAATTATAATACCAATAATTGCAGTTTTTCTTTGCAATTCATATAAAATTATCCTATATTTATATTTATATTTAAATTGACTACAAATTACATATAATTTGATTGAATAATGAAAGTTACTTATAATTGTGCAGTCTTTAGTAATACATAGTTAATATAATCAGACATTGAAGATGTTTATGAAATAAAATTTTTATTTTTCATTTAACTAAAAATACAACAATTTTTAATATAAATTTTGATTACTTATAAAAAAATTTTAATTAGTTATTTACAAAATATATCGTATTATAAAATATAATCTATTAAAATCTCAATATTTATTTAATACATGGATATAATAGACATAGTAACCGCGCTATCTATTGCTAATATTATGTACTATCTTTTTATCTACATTAGGTATCTTTGTAAATTTATTAATAATTCATTAATAATAATGTACTAAAAAAAAATTCTTTTTTTTTATCTGCCTGATATCACTTATATATTAAAAACGAAGTTTATACTGGTATATTTTATATTTTATAAATATAACATTTTAATAAAATTAAATAAATTTTTTGAATAACATAATAAAAAAGGTAAATTATTCTTTATAAAGGACTATTTTCTATAATAAAAATTTATTCAATAAGCGTACAAAGCTTTCTGTTGGTAGTGATTTTAATATAAATTTTAATATATATAAAATAAAATGATAATTATTTACAATAACAATATATTTACTTGTTTGCTTTTATTTGTTAAGTTTACAAAAAAAATAGTGTAATTATAAAATGACAAGAAAAGAACAAACAAGCATTCTTAGAATTTCAAAAATTTTCTTATTTAAAAAAAAAGAAAAAAAAAAGGAATGTCTGTCAATACTAACAAATTATATAAACAAGATAACACTTTTATACAACTTTGTGAAACTGTCACTAATAAACAATATATACAATATCTAATTTGATAATATATCTCTTCGGCATTTATAAATCAATTTGACTAAAAATTCATATAGCACTATAATACAGTACTTAAATAGGCACGTTCAGTATAAGTACTAGTTCTAATCCAGTCTCCTATTAATAAATGATGTTTCATTATCAAAAATTATATTTTAACACAATCTATATTTATTTATAAATATACTATATATATTTTTTTTATTTTTCATGAAACAGAATTACAAAACTTTTATTTAAGGCCAATTATTTTGTTCAGGAACTAGTGTGCCAGATTATCAAATAATTCAGTTTCAGCATAAAACCGATAACTGTTAATATGTATGTTAATATATATAATTATGTATAACTTCTATATAAACAAAAGTTACCCTTTTTGAAGGCATTATTTTATGGTATAATAACCATTTGGCATTTTAACTTGTACAATTCAATTCTCGTGTTCATCAGGATGATCTGTTTTAATATGATGCGTGAATGTATATTGCGTAGTAAATCGTTTTTTACAATAAGGACATTGATATGGCATCAGAGGATGTGCAGATCTTAAATGTGCAACAGCTAATTCTCGTAAAACAAATGGAGATTGACATACTCCGCATCGATACCTAAATATCATAAATATTGATATTTTATATTTTTTAAAATTCGATTATTTTTAATATAAATTTAAATCTTACCCGCCCATTGTCTTGATTAAGGTTCGTTTAATCGGAGGTGGTGCACTTTCTTCATTTATTTCTATTTTCGGTTCAATAGGAGATATAGAATATTCCAATGATGTTTCAGGAATTAATTTTGGCATAGCTTCTTCTTCTTCTTCTTCTTCTTCTTTTTCTTCTTCTTTTGACTCTTTCTTTAAATCTTGTTTTCGCACCTATAAGAATAATAGAAAAAATAATAGAATTTTAAAATATGTTGACTGTATTAAAATTTGTAAAAATAGTTCTTGATTAGTTACCATTGTATATGAACTTTCCATGTGTATTCTCATATGAGAGTTTTTAGATTGAAAACTACTAAAAGAGGCGTTGCACTTGGTACATTTATATTTTTTGCTGTTACTAACTGACATAGATTTTTGTGAAGTCTTTGAAGAAACACCTTTTTTACTGAGCACAGTTTCTGCCGTACATTGATGTGTTAATAGAGATACTTCTTTGAAAAATATTTTATTACATTTTGAACAATGATATGTTTTATCAATAACGTGAGATTTTTGATGCGTTTTATATATATTTTTGTCTACAAATGATTTGTTACATACTGTGCATATGTACATTGATGTCGATTCATTTCGTTTATGAGATACCTATTATTAAAATAAAAAAATATTCAAATATATATCAAAAAATATCATTTTAAAAATGATAAATGTATACCTCATGTCTAAATAATTGCCACTTTTCTTTGAAAGATTTTTTACATATGTGACAAGTGAAATTTTTACAAGTATAATTGTCTGAATGTGTTCTTAAATGCGTTAACATTGTAGTATGATCACTGAACCATTGTAAACAAATACCACATCTTGCAACATTTTTAAATGCATTAGTATTTAATGGAACATTTCTTTTCGATGGTAAATCTTCATGATTAGAAATATCTTCCATCATCTGAAAATTATATTTTATTTTTATTATAATATTTTTAAATAATATATAAATAATTAAATCAACCTCTGAATATGTTCTAGTTTTTGCACGAGTTCTGGCTTCTTTTGCCTCTTTAGCTTCCCTTTCAGCATTTAATACTTCTTCTTGTTCAACACTAGTCATTACAAGTGACACTGTAGGTTCTTGACTATGTTCGCTCATTCTATGTGCTGCTAAACGTATAAAAAGTCCAAAAGATCGACCGCATATATCACATTTGTGTCTTTTTGGTTCATGAGTACGCATGTGATTTGATAATGCACTTTGTTGAGTACAAATCTAGATAAAAATGAAGAAACAAAAATTTTACAAATCTAGATAAAAATGAAATACAAAAATTTTAAAAATATAATTATTAAATTATAATTAAATTTTTTTTTATAAAATACACATAAAATTATTTACTTTTCCACAAGTAGGACATGTAAGTGATTTAGTAGTATCTGTAAAATGTTCTCTTTTCACTTCCTTTGAAGATTCTTCGTTTTTGAGAATTTTTATTGATTGCTGATTCGTTAATTGCAATGTTTTTGTTGAATTACTGACTTCATGCAATTGAATGTGACTTTGATAAGCTTCTGTACTTGGGAAAAATCTATAAAAAAATTAAATATATTAAGTATATTATGTATCTAATAATATATAAATATTATATATTTAAATACATAAAAGTTAGAAAAATTAAAATAATAAAAAACAAATATTAATAAAAAGTATAAACAACCTATTACATAAAGAGCACCAAGTATTGGTCCCAATTTCATTTATTTGAGTTAAATGATCACGTAATCTGTGTTTCTTTAACATTTCCCAACTCACAAATTGTCTATCACATTGATCACAATCTATAACACTTCTATCAAAATCTAATGTTACTTTCAAGTGATTAGTAGCTTCATGTTTAGCTAAATCTTCTACTAATTCAAAGCAAGCAGAACATTTTCTACAATTATATTTTCTTGGACAGTGTAACTGCATATGTTTCATTAAGCTCTCCTTTGTTCTATAATAAATAATTATTAATTATAAAACTGTGGATATGATACATTATCAAAATTATCAAAAACTTATAGTAACTATTACTTATAGTAACTTACTTATAGTAACTATTGCAAGGAGTACACCACCATTTAGATGATAATTTTGTTTCTGAATTTAAATCTTTTCTGTCATTCATTGTTAAACTACCTGTCAGTACTTGTTCTAAAATACTAGTTCTTTTTTCTTCCTCCTTTATTTTTTGTCTTGAGACATTATTTTCATTTTTTAATAAATTTGTATTATGATTTACTATTATATTTAATCTATCATATAACTCATTTTCTATACAGTTTTTATGTGATGATTCATATGCACTAACATCTGTTTCTAATATTGATTCTGTAGTCATTTCTTTAATTTCTACTTCACATGGTAATTCAGGTAATGATTCCATGCAACTATTTTGATGCTCTTGATTAATATCTATTGACATTGATGGACTTTCAATTGGCAGTGAAACTGGCAAAGGTACCAAAGGTGGTGGTGCTCTAGCCTTTTCTCTCCATAATTGAGACTAAAAATCATAAAAATATTGTTTATTCAAAAAATATAAAAATAATATTATACAATATAAATTAATTATTAGAAAATTAGATACCTGACAAGGATCAGGAGAATTTTTCATTGCTTCTAAATAAATCTGAACAGATTCAATATCCTTATATGCTAACAATTTCAAATACATACTTTTGTAAACACTCAAACAATATTCTCTAAATTCATAAACATCATCTAGCCTTGCGGCACAGAACTGACATATTTGCTTTGGCAGTGGATCGGTTTTGTATACTAAGACTGGCAGACAAGCACGTAATTTTTGTGCTACTTTACGTTGTACACCTTCATTACCAAAAATTGATAACATTTCATTTTTCTCTTCTGAACATAATCTACAAGCGTTCTCCCACTTGTTAGACACAGCCATTATAAATAATTTAGCAGTAAACTATTTTTTATATTTCTTTAATCTTTGTGATGAAACGATTAAGCGACGATGAACATACCACGATACGTGTTTATTTTCCGTAGTTATGTTCACGTCAAATATGTGATCGAAAAATACGATCAGCTTTACGAATTAGGTTAGCCAATAGTCCATACCGAATATAAGAATGTAATCACGAAATTGTGATCAAACGGTACATGCATCTCTTTCTCACGTTACACGTGCTACCCGGATATTTCAACGGGTGATTCTTGTTTTATAAATTTCAAATTTTCTTTTTATCATTCTACTTTCACCTTGTGCCGTTTTGACCATTCGGAACTAGCCTTTCAAGTGTAACGATTCAGAGAACCGGTTTTTGCACGTAACCGCTTATGTGCATGGATATTGCTTAATACTGTCATCTATCATATGCACCTTCCAACTATCTTCGGTTGAGTAGCTTTCTTTTTGCATTCGACAAGTTATATAGTCACTATGTTTTGATAACTACTGCTCGAAAAACTATCTTTCAGAATTTCAAATATTATCACTATGTATGATTCAGTGGTTTTTTAGTAATTCTTTTTATTTCATCTATAATATTATTGTTAAAATTTAATTTTCAAACAAATATAATGTACAAAGTTATAAATAAAAATAGTAAATCATTGATTTTATGAATGTATTCAATATTTATAATGGCGTGGCAAGGATCATTGATCGTCGAGTAAGAATCACATGTAACGAGAAACGCGGTCTATTTAAATTTGCATTTTCTTTGTTTTTTAAAATTGTATCTAATTAATAAAGATAATGTTATGCTAATGCAATAAGAAATTAATTAATATTTAAATAATAGTTATGAATTATGTAATATTTTGTTGAACATTAATTTATTGTATAAATTTACATATTTCAACATAAATATATATGAATATAATTTATTTTCCTTTGCCAATGGTTAAAATCTTTTTTATAAATTTTTATAAATTTTTAAATTAATAATTTTATATATTAAAAAAAAAATAAAAAGAAAATCATAAAGGAAAAGTTATAATAAGTATACATATGTATTTCCTACTAAAAAATATTGCATTATAAGATAATTTAAAAAATTATTTAACTAAAGATGTATCTTCAAATATTTATATACAACATATAATAATAAATTACATAATTATTATTAATAAATTATTTCCTCAAACAATTGAAAATATTTTATATAATATAATCAAATAAAATAATATAATCAAATATTAATTTAATTATATACAATTATTTAAACAAAAAACTTTTTTAAGAGAAATACATGTATAATTTCTTAAATTTTCATAGAACATACTTTAATTTTCATTCAATATATTAATTTTAATATTAAAATAATTATATTATTAATTATAAATATGAGGAAAATTAAAGTATGAATCCTTATATAATTATTAATCCTTATATGATTAGAATAAAATATTCAATTGAAAAATTATTTTTTCTTTCTTATACATTATATAAATAACAATATATTAAATTATTAAATATTCATATTATATAAGTAACTTAATAATAATAAATAATATATAAATGCCTTTTAATAAAAAGTAACAAATATCCATCATACAACGAATATTGATTATAAAATTTTCTATGAATATAGTGAATATATTTTTGCTTGTAGCTTAATTTTTTATTGATAAATTAATTGATACTACGATATTGTTTTTTTTTTCAATTAATTTGTTTCGCATCTAAAAATAGAAGTAAAATAATATAACGAGACTATGATAATGCAATAACAATTATATAGCAAATAAATGTATGTACATATAAATGTATATACATATCTGTATATGTATATATATATATATATATATAAAATATACATAAATATACACATACATTGTAAAATCAAAATAATAATTATAAGAAATATTTCATAAATAAGTTATATATTTTATAAATTATATTAAGAATTTGCATATTTTTATTTCAATTCACATATAGAAAAATAATTTTATAATAAATTCTTTTAATCATTTTCCTTCCAATTACATATGAATTAATGAATCATATGTGTGAAAATTATAATTAAAATTGTCAAATAAATTTAAAAATTTTTTTTAGATAACAAACTTTAATTTCTTCTTATAAATTTAAATATGTTTAATAAATTTAATGATTTTTTTTTAATAATCAATATACATATCAAATCTTAGAAAGATATTATAATAATATTCACACACATGATGTTTATGTAAACGCATCTGTTCCCATTTCTTTATGTATATTAAATTTCTTAATATAATAAATAACATTTTCAAATATAATAATTATTATTTTTCGATATTCGCGCTTTAAAATTTACTATAATTTACAGATATATATTTTTAATTTTTAAATTACGAAAGAAAAATAAAAGATTTATTAATATAGACATTTTAAAAATGCAATTATTTTAAATACATATTATGCAATCAACTGAAATTTTATTGATATTTTACTTCATATTTTTCATAAATTGATGTGAAAATTTAAAGAAAATAAGACATTTGTTTATTTATGTGAATATATATATTATTATATTTATATTATCGCTGTATCGATAATTCTAAAAAATTCCATTAATATCTGGATAGAGAGATATATATGATAAATAAAGAATAAACAACTTTTTTCGAAATAGTTGAAAAAATAACGTTTCAATAAAATGTTATGTTACACTGTACATATTTTCCTACATTAATATTCAGCTAGGCACCAGCCTGGCATGTAGTATCTTTTGATAACTATTCACAACCGAATGAGGAGACAAGTTAGAAGCTTAACTAATAAAAATCAAATATTCATCTGAATATTTCTATATAATACATATTCTAAGTTATTTGATTTATGATATACAAGTTTAATGAATATAAGTTGTCTGGAAATGGATCACTTCTTTTAATAGAATTATTTTATCAGTTTATCATATATAGATTAATATTCACTAATAAATTAAAAAAATATCAAAGAATAAAGATGTTTAGATGCCTCTTTCATTCTTCCTTTTTAAAAAGTTGTTCCATTATATTGTTTGTACATTCCTACTATCTTGCAGCTGGCATTTTTTCAAGAAAATCTTGTTCAATCACTGTTTCCACTTGTGTAATATTTAACGGTGCTTGTGTATCGCTCGATCTGCGGCTTAATGTTGTAAAAAAATAATGCAGATCTTGCAATGAACGAATGTTATTTGATGTTAAAAGAAGTTCACCAGGTATAGTCTTTGTAGAGCTTGTTTCTTGTTTGTACTGAAACAAAAAATATTATGCAAAATATAACTATATTTTATAATTTTCAAAAAATGAGGAATATTTTAATTAATTATTAAATATTCAATAAGTTATATTATTTATAAAATAAATAGTAAAGTAATAATAAAGTACATATATTTATTTTTTTTTAATTTTTTATGAAAATTTTTAAAATAAAATTAAAATTTATTATCTAATAAATTTTTATAAAATTTTTATAAAATAACACAAAAGGAAGATGTAATTTAAAAATTTATTATAATATCAAATATAATTTAGATATTAAATTAGAGAAATGAAAAATGATTGGCTTATAAAAATAAAATGTATACATACATATATATATATATATATACATATATAATTTGTACTAAAATAAGTATTTCATCAGAATTAAATAAAACAATTGAAAATAACTATAAAATATGTATAAAAATATTAAAAATCTATTTAAAATCAAACATTATTAAAATATTAAAATTAAAAAATAAAATAAATATAAAAATAAATAATACCAATAATAAAAAAAAATAAATAAAACAATTTATTTTTTAATATAAATAATATTAAAAAAGATTTTTAATTAGAAAAAATATATGAATGTATGAAGTTCATTAAGTTACTGTTAATTAAGTACATTTGTAGTGAAACACTGCTGCACTTTACTGTTAGTCAGTTTTAAAGTGGCAATGGCAGTGACTAGACTAAGAACACATGCTTGTTTCATTTTTTATATTATAATAATGATAAATGCTAATAAATGTTATACACAATCGCGTAAGTATTTTTAATATTTAAAATAGATAATTATTCTTTACTATGATAAAAAATAGAATAATAAAAATGTTTATTTAGTTATAGATGATAAATATGTTAATTATATTTATACTATAACATTATATTAAATATTTAAAGAAGTTTTATCTAAACTTTTTCTTCTTTACTATTAATTTTTTAATTTATTATTTAATAAAAATAATTATTTGATTTCTTTTTGTATAAATCATGAAGAATCAGTTTTTAAATAAAAATTAAATATTTTTTAATTATAATTATTTAATATTTTTTAAATCATATAATTAAATATGGAAAATAAAAATACAATTAGTGATTCATTGTAACTTCTCTACTTTTAATAGACTTCATTTAAGTTAATTGGCTGTAATTAATAGAAATTAAATGATATAAATTATACAATAAGTTCACTTATATAATATTTTATTCTAAAAAATTAATTAAACTTTTTATAATATTGATCTTAATATTTATGCATTGTTATCTATAATTATGCTATATATTATTGTAATTATACTATATTTTAGAATATATGGATGATTCTGATTATAAAGATTTAAAATTTTATGAAGATATGCCAGTTAATTATATTGAAAACTTTGATAAAGATCATATAGATATGATTCAAGATGATTTTTATATTTTAAGCAATTTTGAAGATGCAAACTTACAAAACAATCTTTACTTTCATAAAAATAATCTTCAAATACCGTTTGAAACTAATGATGATTCGTTCAAAAAAAAATCATCAGTTGAACACTTAGAATGGTATAAACCTGAAAAAATGTATCGATATACGAAACATCGAATTCCTGGATATGATTATGAAGAACTTGATTATATGATTACAAAAAATTTTCAACAATGTGATGAAAAATCCATTTGGACCCATTGTCTTTGTCAATTCACTTGTTCTGAACCAGATATGGTAGATTGTTATACACCATGTAAAAGTGGATGCGAATGCAAAGAAGAATATGTTTTTGATGAAAAAACACAACAATGTTTGTTACCAGAACAATGTTTTCCAAAAGAAGATAATTTTTACATTACATAATTTATATAACTTAACATATAAAAAATGCAATGTTTTTTTTAAATGCTAATGTTGTTTTGTGTAATATAAAATACGGAATTTATATTAATTTGAATAAAGATAATGATATAAAAGTTTGTAAAATCAAATTATTTCTTAAATTTACCTTGCTATCCATCAATTTTGCTATTCTCGTAATGTGTGGTACAAAATCAGAAGATAAATTATTGTTTTCTACAGATCCTGCTGCTGAATCACCTACAAATGCCCACCGATACCTATAAAAAAAATCTCAATTTTATATAATTTTTTGAAGAATTATTCTTTATAAAAATTATTTGGATTTTTGACTTACATTTGAAATTGAGGAAGCCTATGTGCAGGCAAAAGCAATGCTAGATCTAATAATTTAGCAGCTGCAAGTTGTAATTGCAACCAATGAGGATGACCATGTGCTTGAAGTCCATTGCTAGCATTTACTGCCCAAGATGAATCCAAAGCTGACAGTAATTTTATATGCGAACTGCACAGAAATAAAATATCTTTAGAATTTCATTTAATTAACAAAGTTTATAATACATTTTTTTAATTGTTTTAATAAATTGCAATAAAA